GTAGAACAAGTCATTTTATAATAAGAGACTATAAACAGTTATACAGAGGAACACTAGAATACAGAAAAGTCAGTGATGTCAGCATTGTCTAGGAGGTCTCCGCGATGAAACATCTGTTGTAGTGCATGTCCCAAAACTAAACCCGATTTGCGGACAAACCGTACACCCCATGCAAGTGCCCAGTTTGACATTCTATTTATAATGTACTTTGGGAAATGCATTTCATTTTGGGCCCCTGTTTTAGACAGACAACAGTTACTTCTGCAAATAAGACGAAGCAATTTGAGATCGGGGGCGGACTTCGGCGGCGGCGTCAGGGTTGTTGAGGATGCCAAAAAGCAGAGGTTTTCACTATTCAACCGCCTTGTTAGTGGGCTTTATCTTCTTACTAACGTTGCATCCTAAAACCTCCGCTAACAGATCACTACTAAAAGCTGTTAGCTGATTGGCTTTGGGGCGCGCAGCTTAGAAATTTCAACGCGGGATGCTGTTTCATATTTTATGGGACCGGGTAGCTTCCAAGCTTGTTCAAAATAAGTGTCGACTTTTTTACTCGAAGAAATGGATGACGAAAACGGAGAATTAATCGCAGTACGCAACGAAAACTTAATAGAATTTAGTGAGCTACAAGGGCCACTGCCCTACTGGCGCGGGAATACTGGAAACGAGGGTTGACTAATAATGTGGTTGGCTATAAATGAACATATGAAGTGAGCTGGTTGGTTATTTAGGATAAAAGTTGTTTGAATATACAATCTATCGACATTTGCCAATAGCAATGCAACCCCAACATTTTCAGAAATAATGAATTGTTAACTAACCACCATGATTTTATTCATTCTGCATTGTCAAAAAAGAATGGTGACAACTTTGACAGGCTCATGTGATTTAGGGCTAGGATGTACTTGCATATCTGCTTTTTATAGTAGTGTGCAAGACGGACAGCCCCAGACAAACTTGGGCTTTATGAGCTTCAAGAATTCAGTCGCTGTTTCTTGTATACAAGAAACAGCGACTGAATTCTTGAAGCTCCTATTTTCAGCGTCTTTGTTGTAACAAAGACGCTGAAAATAGACCACTCATACAAACTATGGGAAAAGGGTGAGAATGGTAAACAGGACCGCAACAGACGGAATATTTAAAAGACAACTCAAAATAGAACGCAAATAAAGGAGCTGTTCATGAAGATACAAAATTATAGTGTAGAAAATAAGCATTACGTATGGCCGACGGATTGCAATCCAAACCACGCGCCTTAACTATGACCTATGACCTTTATGGATTTCAACCGTAGGAAGTTCTTAACGGGTCTGACTGAAGGGATTATTACGAACTTGTTTGGTTTGTGCGTGGCTACTGACAATTTTTAGGGAGATACTTTTGGCTGCACTGATATCAGCAAGCATATGCAGGTGCAAACAGCTGCCGTTTATTTAGTTATTTATGCAATACATTGCTGTCCATATTATCAAGTGTATCAGCAACATAAAATAATGGAAATGCGAGCGATGCTATGTTTCTGACAGAAACTCAGTAATAAGATAAGGCAGAATAAAAATTTGGCTTATTATCGTCAGGTGTAGGTTTTTTATGATACTTAGCGCACAATATAAGAAACTTAAACATCGATGAGGTGCTCTTGATTTATGCGATTGATCGGTCGCCTAGTTCCCTCCTGCGGCTAGGAGGAATATGCTATAATAAAAGAATTAGAAATCAAAGAGCTTATGCATGTCCTTGGCCTCATCCGCGCTGAATTGTAAGACACCCAATGAAATCCCACTCCAAGAAGCAGAAATAAAGAAGGATCGCGGCATCTGGATGACAGAAACCTTCTACACAATGC